ACTTAGAAATAATGCTTTGAGGTGATCACTTTAAGTTGAATGATCATCATTTAAGGGAAGACAGTAAAATAACTTGCCATTCCATCTACATTTTTGTCCTGATGAGGTGTATATATTTTAAACTATCGAGAAGTCATCATACTTTGGTTGGAGCTGTAAAACAAAATTTCAAGCACTGAAATGTGTTTTATTACCAATTCTAGTAGTTTATAGATTCTCTGTAAATGGAAATGGTTTGTTTTATCTGATGTGCTCTACCAGTACAAGGAATTTGAATACTTATTGTGTGTTAAGGAACTGTTCTGAAGGCTGGCTCATAGTGTGACTTGGCTGTTCACTTCCAAGAGAAGACAGGACAGTAGGCACCTAGTCTTAGGGTAGTCTACATTTTAGAAGTATTCTGTGTTGCTTATAGGAGGATTGATTTCTGTAAATGTATTTCACAGTTACGATTTTGTTAGATTGCCACAAATAAAACTTTTCAACCTGGCAAAGGGTTATACAATTCCTGTCCATCTGTTAATTGTATCAGATGCTTCGTAAGTTTTGTAAATAAATAATATCATCATTGCTAAGAGAAGGATATGTTTTCTTAAACTTTTCCACTATGATATTAAAAAAGCAGGAGGGATGAAAAGTAAGTGATTGTTTAGAGGTGCTCTTTCATTTTAGCAAGCCAAAAACACAGCATAGGGTTAAAGAAGCCATAAATCTTAAAAAAAAAAAAAATGTAGTTTGAGTTTTCTCTATATTGTACAGAATGCAGAGCTCAAGAAATGTCCTTGTGTTAAAATGGGGTCTTTTCCATAACGGGTACATTCCGTGTGGTAGTCAGACCAGATTTGAAATACCTACTCCCTTTGGTGCCTGTGGAGAATGAAAATACCCACCTCTCATCTTTCTCCTTGGAACAGCTGTTAAATATGTCAAGAGAACTGAGTGAGCTGAAGAAAAATCTTAAGGATGCTACTGCTGCAATCGCAGCTGAGCCTCTGACGACGGAATCTGAGCCCACATTCAATTCCACAGAAGCAGCTATTCAGTCCATGCTGGAGTGTTTGAAAAACAATGAACTCGTTAAAGCCGTCCGGCAAATCAGAGAATGCAGGCAAGTTTTGCTACATGGCTCATATTAGACTTTCATGTTATTAAAAAAATGTCTAGATTTATTATCTTCCTAATTTTATACTAACTGTAATGCGCAGGGTCAGCATTATTCATTTGTTAAAACAAGGTACATGGGGGAATTGATACCATTAACTTTTCCAGGGGTGTGCCACCAATAACAATATCAAATCAATAACACAAACGTGTGCTTGCAACAGTGAAAATGTTTCATTACATTGCATAGATTGAAAGTGCTTCTGCAAGGCTCTTGAGAATCTTTTTATAGAGCTGATTCCATACAGGTGTGTATCACTGGCATCAGCTGACGTTCAGCCCAGTTTCACTTATTGGAGTGAGTTCACTTAAGCTTTTGGGGTTTTTTTAGATAACAGGAGTTGCAGTTTTATGTCATTTCAGTGCCTGATACCAGACTCTGAGTTACAAATGAGTAGCATAGAACAGTGAGTTGCTTTGGGCTTGTAGGTGTGTGTGAGTCAGTTCTCCTAGAGCTCTCTGTCAGCTCGTTTGCCCCTGTGCTAACAAACCCCTAATGATACACACATTCTTCTCCCGTTTGATGGCAGGATTTTGTGGCCCAATGACATCTTTGGGAGTAGCTCCGATGACGAGGTCCAGACACTACTGAACATTTACTTCCGGCACCAAACCCTGGGTCAGACGGGCACCTACGCACTGGTGGGCTCCAACCAGAGCCTGACTGAGATCTGCACCAAGCTAATGGAGCTGAACCTGGAGATCCGCGACATGATTCGCAGAGCTCAGAGCTACCGGGTCATCAACCCTTTCGTCCCAGACTCCAGCACTGCCGGCACAAGTCTCTGACAGGACTCTCCTGTCCTCTTCCGAGCTGGGAGTGCTGCCCTGCTGGGGTGAGGTGGCTCAACGTCTTCTCAGCCTTACAAAGGTTTGGTCAAACTGTACTCACTCTTGTTACCTTTAGGATTTCTTCTAAAAAGATACGGGCCGAACTTCAAACGTGTAGCAATACTGTAAGGACAAAGGTAGCGTAGAGCACCCGGGACGACATCCTTTGTTCTCTGTTGCACAGGGATCAGTTAGCATTTCACTGAGCAACTGCAACTCACTACTGAAGAAGTGACTTCCATTGCATACCAAAGCCTACTACACTGAACAATACTTCCTTTATAGCAAATTAATTTTAGGTTGGCAAAAGTGCAATGTTTCCTTCGCAAAATAATATTTTTTGTTAAAAAAAAAAAAACTTGTACATTTTTTCCTTTTTTCTCTTATTTGGTTGAGTGAAAGATGGGCAGAATGAAGCTGGCCACGGAATCTAGCAAATTTGTTGGTCAAAAGCTGAGAGCCTGTGTGTATGAAATGAATTGTAAATGGACTACAGTTTAATGTACACTGTAATTTGAATATGATTACTGTATCTTAAAACAACGAGCTGCTATGAAGTACATTTCCTAATGTTACTGGGCTACTGTCTCTGAAGGTACTGGATCATATTGCAGAGGTCTGTTCTTAGGCCCCCCAAGCATCACAAACGGTCTTGGTGCATTTTTTTTTTTTAAAAGGACCTTGGCTGCTTTTTACTAGAGGATTGCTTTTATGAATATATTTATACTATTAAAGGATGGTTGATCTAATTTAACTTGCCATTTTGTAGGAGAAAGTCCCACCACAGAGTCAAATCTTTTGAACTGTTATGCATGCGTATTTTTATTTAATACAAATCAAATATAAAAAGTAAAAATATTATCGTGAAATGCAAGTTCTCATGTTAAGTTTCTTTAAAGAGATGTCTTATTTTATTTGTAATGTATATAGAAAAGTCATACCTGTATGTTTTTTTTTCTTACATTTAACTGCTGTCCAGTGTTAAATGTATGCATGTAAATCTGTTGCACATCTGAGACACTTTTTATTCTGACAACTATGTAACTTATTCACTCTGTAAATACACTTACCGTTTTTGTGAAGTAACTTCGGTTGATATTTGGATCAGTACATCCATTTAACTAAAATATAAAAGTCATATATAATCACAAGAGAGTACCTGCTTGTTGTAAAGACTGTGTTCTGGTCTGAATCTGTACTGTTGTGGGTGGCATCCCTGATCAGCAGGCTCCAAAAGTCACCTTTTTCATCTTTTATGGTGAAGCCTTCATTACAGTGAAAGAAACCAGTGAGAAATGTAACTTTTTTTGTCAGTTTTGTCACTCAACCAGGAAGAGTGGGTCGATTAAAGCAGTTTCATAACTGAAAAAAAAAAAAAAAGACAAAAAAAAAACCCAAACAAACCAAATGGAGGTGAAGGTTTGTTTGTGTTCAAAACATCAGTAATGGTCCTATTCATTCCAGTCCTGGGTTTTGATGGGATTTTTTTTCTTATGCTAAAGATAAAACAAAAGCTCTCCAGCCTGCTGTTAGCCTCAGCTCTGAGCATCCAGTAAAACCCTCCCTCCACTTACCCCTTTTCCTTTTCAAAATGCTTGTGCAACTTTCTGTGGATCTTGAAAAATACTTGTATTGGTGCATAAAAGGGGTGGAATCAACTTCTTTTACAGGTTTTGTGAGCCACAGAGATCTACAGCACAGCTACAGCGGCAAGACAAAATAGATGCAGGGCAAATCGTGTGGCTCCTTTTCTGAGTAAAATAATCTGAAATGGTTAGACAAGCCTTCGAATTTCAGTTTCACTTTTGAAAGCTATTCAGAACTGTAAATGGGGTGGTCTGCAACAGTTTGAGTGGTTGGTGAACGCTGAGATCTGCTCAGGAAGATTCGGTGGGAAGGGACCTGAGGAGGCACTCTAGCCCAGTCTCCACTTCAAAGCGGTTCAGCCATGAGATCAGATCAAGTTACTCAAGTCTTTTTCCAGATGGGTCTTGAAAACATCCAAGGATTGAGAAGGCTCAGCCTCCTTGAGCAACTTGTTCTACCTGCCTGTTCTCACCATGAAAAAGCTTTCCCTTTATCCAGTATGAATTTACCTTGTTTTATTTATCTGCTCTCGGCCCACTACCGTGAGCAACAACAAGGCCTGGCTCCATCTTTCCTGGATAACCATAACCTGGCAGGCTGCTGTTGGGTCACCCTGAAGTCTTCGCTTCTTCAGATGGAATAAGCCCAGTCCCTTCAACATTTCTTCACAGAGCAAATGCCCCAGCCCTGGGGCCAGCTTGGTGGCCCCTCCCCTGAACTGCTTACAGCTATCAACATCTTCCTCACACAGAGAGACACAAACTGGATACAATGATCGAGATGTGACCTAGAGAGTGCTGAGAAGATGGTAACAGCCATTTCCCCTGCTCTGCTTCTTTTGGTACAGCCAAGGATGTTGCTGCCACATTTTGCAACCCTTTAACCTCAGCTGAGAAGGTTTTTCCCTTCCTCACTTGGAAAACACATGAAGCTCACATTTCCCACCCCCCCATCTTCAAGGCAGTTTTCTGGCATGTAGTCCTTCATTATCAGACTGGAGTTTGGTTTTTTTTTTTTTTCTTTTTAAACCCATTTTACAGAAGTAGTGTGAAGAGACACTTGCAAATGCCTTTACCCCACACTTTATACTCCAGACAAAGTTACATCTTCCACATCAGTTCAGTTTGAATGACTGAAAGAAACGGTTGCTAGTGCAGTTTTAATCTTAGCATTCCTTAAAGGCAGACTAAAAACAAAACCTATTTTCCTTAGGAAATCAAATAGGTTCCGTTTCCTTCCTCTTTAATCCCAGCAAGATTAAACTAAGGGGTAACAAACTAGTGCAAACTTTTATTTACAGCACATTCAAATTTATATACTTTTTTAAATAATACAAAATTCTTTATCCATTATCCAATGCCAGGTCAAAAGCCTAAGGTCAGAACACAGCAAGAGGCTGAGGAAGCGCAGGGCCGTGGGGCTCAGAGGATGTATTTGAAGCTGTAGGTGCTGTCACAGGACAGCCTCTTGCCCCTGCAGCGGCCACAGAGCTCCTGGCGGTGAGGTCTCTTGAGATCAATGTGTCTTTTCGTCTGAGGGCAGGAACAACGGGTCTTCGAACAGGTCTGCAGGAACAAGGCATCAGTATATCACAAGTGCTCACTTCATACTAGCCTGACATTTAGTTTTCCTTAACCACAACAACATACATGGGCTGATAAAAGAGCTCATATGGTAAAAAAACCTGCAGAGTTTCCAAAGAAACAAAGAAAAACTTTTTCACTGTGAGCATGCCAGAGCACTGGAACATGCTGCCCAAAGGGGTTGTGGAGTCTCCTTCTCTGGAGACATTAAAACCCACCTGGATGCGCTCCTGTGTGACCTGCTCTAGATGGTCCTGCTCTGGCAGAGGTTTGGACTAGATCTTTCGAGGTCCCTTTTAACCCTTAACATTCTGTGATGCTGTGAGTTAAGCTGCAAGAGCCTTCTCACCTAGAAGCACAAAACCCTACCACCCTGTGTGTAGCTGGGCACAGCACTGTATGAACAGAAAACCATTCACATCAGTCATCAGCAGAAGGAGAGAATCCTCCCCCATTACATCTTTCCCAAATAACACATTCTAGTACTTTGTAAAAACAAGTTCTTTTCCAGCTGAAGTCAGTATCAAATTCAGCACCTTTGAAGTACTGGAATGTATGAGAAACCCTGGCAGCCTTGACCTGGTACCTGGATAAACACGTGTAGCTTACCTGGCACTGGATTGCTTCCACTCGATAGGGATTGAAGCCTTTTTGGCATTTACGACAGAGCTGCTTGAAGTACACCTGAAAAAAAACCCAAGTTCTCAGTTTCTATAGAGACTTACTCATGGCATTCCATACAGGTACCTAAATTTGTGGCAAAACACCTGATTTGTCACAGGTTTGGCGCCATTCTTACAAGTCTCGGAGCAAGACATTACTTGTTAACTACCTTGTTGCTTCCAGAAATGCACCACACGTAAGCACTCTCCCATCTGGTCTTGCAGTCTTTACAGTGGAAATAGCCATACTTCTGCTCCAAGAACTGCAGAGAGAAAGCTCGCTGAGCGGCCTCCAGCGCCACACGAACACCCGGCCCAGCTCCCTCTTCACACCCCGCGTTTCCGCAGGCGGGAGGTCCCGCTACACCAGGGAGGCAGAGCTGGCCGTGCAGGCCGCAGCGGGGCCACCCGCCGGAGGGACCCCGTGCCCCCCGCTGCTCGGGAGGAGCACGTTTCTCCGCTTCG